CCATCCATCCATCCATCCATCCATCCATCCATCCATCCATCCATCCATCCATCCATCATCAGCTCCTCCCTTCCTCCCTCCCTCCCTCTGCCGCAGGGAAAGGCTGCTGGGAAAACAGGTAGAAAGAGGGCAGGCTTTGCATTTGGTGCGTCCAATTCCTGTGTTCCTGTCAATTAGAGGAACCTTTATTTGGCGGAGACATGAGAGAGATGTTTTCCTTGCAAGCTGCTTGCAGGCTCCAGAACTTCCTGCTTGGGAAGACCATGTTTGTCCCTTTTTACGAAGCAAGGGATGGACGGCATCCTCCCCCTGGCAGGCAAAACCCTTTTCCTTCCGACAGCCCGTTTGTCTTCCAGCTGGGCCGAAGTGGCTGTGACTCGTTTGCCGCTGTTTATGCTTTCATTGTTCTTTATTGATCAGTCTTTGTTCTTCATGGCATCGTGCTTAGATCAGAATTGCTATTACTGTATTTGTGGTCAGAAAGGTGGGGTGTATATGGAAAAGCAGCTGGCTAGAAGGCTCGGTGGTTTGCCAGAAGTTGGGAGTTCGAATCTCCACCAGGCCTTTCTGGGAGAAAAGCCAGCCTGGGGAGCCCTGGGCCACCTCCACAGTCCTACAGCGCCCCTAGAGGAAGGGAAAGGTAACACAATTCTGAGTACTCTACCTGGAAAACCACAAAAAAAGATAGCCATAAGTCAGAATTGGTTTGATGTTACCTGATGATGATGGTGATGATGCAGAATAGCAAACCAGTCATACCAAACCTGGAGCCCTCCCTCCAGATGTTTGGGGCTCCACCTTATATCAGCATGGCAGGCCTTTCTTAGTGATGGGAGTTGTATTCCAAAGCATCTAAGAGGGCATCAGGTTGGAGAAAGGCCACACAGGATTCAGGGGATCATGGGCTTCCCATTCCTTCAAAACACGTTAAGGCCTCTCTGCTTCCATATTATCATCCTCTGAGAACTGCAGGGCTGGAAGGGACCCTATAGATCATCAAGTCCATCCGTTAAGGAGGCCGGGCAGGGAATCAAACTCCCAACCTCTGGGCTCTTGAGCTACAGTCAGGGAAGAACGGCAACCGCCCCAGCGATGGTAGTAATGTGAGGAGCAAATTCTGACCTGTATAGAATGCTAACCTTCTGGCCCTCGCAATCCTTTGACTGCAGCAAAAACACACGGGTGGCTTGTGGGGCGTTTTGACTGGGCTTGACCTTGATCACTGGCTGGTGTCTTTGTTTTGTTTTGTTTCCAGAGCCACGGTCCACATCCAGGTGAACGATGTCAACGAGTACGCCCCGGTCTTTAAAGAGAAGTCCTACAAGGCAGCCGTGATCGAAGGGAAGCGCTCCGACACCATCCTGCGCGTGGAAGCCGTGGACGCCGACTGCTCCCCGCAGTTCAGCCAGATCTGCAGCTACGAAATCGTCACCCCCGACGTCCCCTTTGCCATAGACAAAGATGGTGAGGCAGACCAGAATAAGCACAGCCTCTTGGCGCTGGGAGATGTTCAGCCCAGATGCCAGTCTTTCCAGTTTCTGGAGTCTTTTTTTAGAATTTTTAAAGACCTCCTTACCAAAAGGAGGTTTTTGGATCCTCTTCCATAGAGCTGGCTTTTGGGTTTGAGATGGCTTTTCAGAGGTCCTCTGAGGACATTCTTCCTGGCTGACCCCCTAATTTCATCACGCCTTCTTAGATGAGGAATATGGGCTAAGGCCAGCCCACCCTGCTGTCCCTATGGGACACTTCTGCCACGGTTAGGATGACTGGGTTCTTAACAGAGACAATTAAACAATAGTAAAGGGAAAGGTTCCCTTTGACATTGAGTCCCGTCGTGTCTGACTCTAGGGCGCGGTGCTCATCCCCGTCTCCAAGCCATAGAGCCGGTGTTTGTAGACAGTTTCCGTGGTCACGTGGCCAGCGCGACTAGACACGGAACGCCATGACCTTCCCACCGAGGTGGTCCCTATTTATCTACTCATATTTTTATATGCTTTCGAACAGCTAGTTTGGCAGGAATTAAACAATAGGTAACAGCAGATGCAGCTGTTTTGAAAAGATTTGATCTACAGTAGTGAAGTTATCCGGAGTGTGAACTGGCCAGAAATTGTTATGAGCCATTAATTTGCCAATATTAATAATTATAGGTGAAAACAAAATAAAAATTAAGTGTTAAAAAAGTCAAAAACAAGGTGGCACCTTAGAGACTATCTTTTATATTTTAATGTCAGCTTTTGTGGGCAAGTCCACTTCATCAGAGACCATGTTTTTGTCTTTTTAAACTCCTTATATATATTTTGTTTTCACCTATAATGCTTGCACAAACTAACATGGCTACCTTTTCTACACCTACAAATATTAATAATGGGATTTTTTAAGGAAAAGATCATAAAATGCTGGACGACAGACTCTGTCATCAAAGAAGAATGGGTTGCTTATCCTTGTGTTTTGCCTTCGATTTACTCATAACGGCAAGATTCCGTCACCCCACAGCACTGTTTTCAAACTGGTTTGCTCTCACCCTCAGGTTACATTAAGAACACAGAGAAGCTGAACTACGGGAAGGAACACCAGTATAAGCTCACGGTCACAGCCTACGATTGCGGGAAGAAAAGAGCTGCAGAGGATGTGCTTGTGAAGGTCACCGTTAAGCCGACATGCAAGCCCGGCTGGCAGGGTTAGTACACTGCCCGACTCTTCCTCTTGCGCTGCTGATCCTCATGCTGCAGCCAAATGCCTTTTTTTCCTTTTCCCTCCACATCACCCTTTCCTTTTGTGTTGTGTCTCTGTCACTCGATATATATAAAGTTCTCTCTTTTTGTATAAAATGTAATATGTAAGCCACTTGGAGAGCCTTTCCAGCTGCAGAGCGGATCACCTGTGTATGTTTAAGGAAAGGCTTTTCAGACCTCAGGGGCTGCAGACCACATGGGACTTCCTTTTTTTCCTTCCTCAATCCAGGCTGGAGCAAACGAATGGAATACGAACCCGGAACCGGGGCGCTTGCTCTTTTCCCTAATATCCATCTCGAGACTTGTGACGAGCCCATCACTTCCGTGCAGGCCACCGTTGAGCTAGAGACTAACCACATTGGGAAGGGTTGCGACCGAGACACTTACTCTGAGAAATCCCTCCAGCGGCTTTGCGGTAAGACCTTGTCTGGGGAGGGAGCGCCGCATCTTGCGTCTGGTCGCTTCTGCTTCCCTGTTTTTGAATCCTGACTCAGCTTCCCCCACTGAGCTGTCAGAAGGGGCGAGCTGGAAAGGAACCTTTCCCTCTGTGTGGTCCACGCGAACCACATGTTGTGAAAATGGAAACCTATTCTGCGTGAAGGAGATGGAATTCTGCAATCTCTGGATGTTACGCGAGCTGAGCTCTCCCGATCTGGGTGCCTTCCAGATGCCCTGGCATTTTGTTTCCATCAGCCTCAGCTAGGCATTCTGGGGGGTCAAAAGAAGCCACAGGACTCCAGCTCCCGGCAGTCTTGATCATGAGCCGTGATGGCTCAGGATGATGGATACTAAATCCCACCCCCCAAAAAATGTACAGGGTACTTAGTGGGAAGAAATTACTGTAGCTCATTTCAAGTTTATTTCTCCAATTTCTTGTTCCTCACCTCACTTTGTTTAGGGCATCCCCTAAGCATTCAGTGCCTCAAATCATCTGCAGATAGTGCTTCCCAACCGTAGGCCCCAGAAATCCCGGCCAGCCCAGCTTGTGAAGCAGATTCCTCTACTCAGAGGTATTAGCCAACGGGTTAAATATCATGAGAGAGAATCTCTCTGCAGTTCTGTCCAGCTCGGCTCCAGCAGGAATTGAGAGCCCACTTCTGTTCCCGAGTTCTTTCTGTACAAGATGAGCCTTTGCTGAGCCCTCAACCCACAAAACCGAAACCATCCTCACGTCAGGAATGTTGCAGGTTCAGTGTTCTTCCGTGTTCGATCGCAGGTGCTTCCTCCGGTACGGCTGAGCTCCTCCCACCTCCCAGCAGCACCGCCAACTGGACCCTCGGCCTCCCGACAGACAACGGCCACGACAGCGACCAGGTCTTCGAGTTCAACGGCACGCAGGCCGTGAGGATCCCAGACAACGTGGTCACGGTTAACATGAAAGAGCCTTTCGTGATTTCGGTGTGGATGAGGCACGGGCCCGGGGTCAAGGAGAAAGAAGCCATCCTCTGCAACTCGGACAAGACAGGTTTGGGAAATGTATCCCCTTAAGAAGGGGGCTCTTGCCCTGTCCTGTGCCGACCTCGAGCTGCTGGGGAAGCCACGGAATGTTCACAAACATTCCCTGGTGGGGAGGGCGAAGGAATCCGTGAGCACGTGGCTGCCTTGGCCGAAATGGAAAGAATGGCCTTCTCATTCTCTCTCACACTTGGTTGTTCATTGCCCACATGACTGTAGTCTGAAGTTGCAGTCTGCTTTGAGCTTGTGCTTTTTGAGAAAAGGTCCAGTTCTCCGCGTTAGCGGCTGTTGGATGCGTGGGTGTGGATGCTTGATCATTCTCTCTAGCAGGTGTCTCAATGTGTGATTCCTTGGTAAATTTGCCAAAGGAAATAACGAGTGCATGCAAAGACAGACCGTTTCTCCCCTCTTCCCCCCCCAACCTTCTTCTCACCTATGAGTAGCTTTCTGTGCGAATAGCATCATCAGTCCTTGAAGGTTTCATAATTTGGATGCTAATGAAGCACAAGAATTGTAGAGGCTGAAGCAAACCATTTTGAGTCAGAGAAAACTCCGCTCTCTTAAACCTTACAGGAGGGTTCTCTTCCTGCGTTTGATCACACACCGTTAGTAGGAAGCTCCGTCTTTTTAGAAGCAGTCGTGAGCCTTAAATAGCAAGTGCTGCTTCTATTAAACGGGGAAAAACATATGCTTTGTTTAGGACAAACTTAAGATGTTTCCCTGCGTTAAACAGAGAACATCTGGGATCCTGAAAATAATTGGGTTGGAAAAGTGAATGATCAAAATGCAAGTGAGTTATTATGAGGACCAGTCTTCCTTGTCACTGAGAATTTCATGCCCCAAAATAGATCTAGAGGAGCCGCATGGCGCGGTGGTTAAACTGCAGTACTGCAGCTAAAACTCTGCTCGCTACCTGCATTCTGTCCCAGGTAAGCCAGCTGGAGGTTCACTCAGCCTTCCACGCTTCAGAGGTCAGTAAACTGAGCACCCAGCTTGCTGGAGGGGGTGGTGGAGGCAGTGTGTAGCCTGCATAATTAAACTGGAAACTGCCCAGAGAGTGGTTTAGGCACTGTGGTATTAAATATATATCTATATACAGCATAGATTTCCCCCCTCATTTTATTAGTAGCAATTCAAAGATGTTTTCACGTATACATTTATTTCCTACAGCGAGTCTCAACTTCTGAACGCTACCTTTTATGTTTCAGAAAACTCCTGAGCCCCATGGATGCCTGAACCAATGGTTATTGGATTTTTTAAAAAAATGTGTAATAAGGACTAGTTTCAGCATCCACTCTGTTTCAGATCATTCCCCAAATGGTAGTTTCATCCATCATAACGCCTTGGCCACTATCACAAGTCTATATGCGCGCAGCTGTCGCCTCCATCAAAAAAACGGGCCATTTATTTAATCCTTGCTTCAGCCCTGCTCTATTTTTTCTTACGGTGCTTCTGTGTAAAATTTAGGATGAGGAATAATCCTGACTCAGCTTCCCCCACTGAGCTGTCAGAAGGGGCGAGCTGGAAAGGAACCTTTCCCTCTGTGTGGTCCACGCGAACCACATGTTGTGAAAATGGAAACCTATTCTGCGTGAAGGAGATGGAATTCTGCAATCTCTGGATGTTACGCGAGCTGAGCTCTCCCGATCTGGGTGCCTTCCAGATGCCCTGGCATTTTGTTTCCGTCAGCCTCAGTTAGGCATTCTGGGGGGTCAAAAGAAGCCACAGGACTCCAGCTCCCGGCAGTCTTGATCATGAGCCGTGATGGCTCAGGATGATGGATACTAAATCCCACCCCCCAAAAAATCTACAGGGTACTTAGTGGGAAGAAATTACTGTAGCTCATTTCAAGTTTATTTCTCCAATTTCTTGTTCCTCACCTCACTTTGTTTAGGGCATCCCCTAAGCATTCAGTGCCTCAAATCATCTGCGGATAGTGCTTCCCAACCGTGGGCCCCAGAAATCCCGGCCAGCCCAGCTTGTGAAGCAGATTCCTCTACTCAGAGGTATTAGCCGACGGGTTAAATATCACGAGAGAGAATCTCTCTGCAGTTCTGTCCAGCTCGGCTCCAGCAGGAATTGAGAGCCCACTGCTGTTCCCGAGTTCTTTCTGTACAGGATGAGCCTTTGCTGAGCCCTCAACCCACAAAACCGAAACCATCCTCACGTCAGGAATATTGCAGGTTCAGTGTTCTTCCGTGTTCGGTCGCAGGTGCTTCCTCCGGTACGGCTGAGCTCCTCCCACCTCCCAGCAGCACTGCCAACTGGACCCTCGGCCTCCCGACAGACAATGGCCACGACAGCGACCAGGTCTTCGAGTTCAACGGCACGCAGGCCGTGAGGATCCCAGACAACGTGGTCACGGTTAACATGAAAGAGCCTTTCGTGATTTCGGTGTGGATGAGGCACGGGCCCGGGGTCAAGGAGAAAGAAGCCATCCTCTGCAACTCGGACAAGACAGGTTTGGGAAATGTATCCCCTTAAGAAGGGGGCTCTTGCCCTGTCCTGTGCCGACCTCGAGCTGCTGGGGAAGCCACGGAATGTTCACAAACATTCCCTGGTGGGGAGGGCGAAGGAATCCGTGAGCACGTGGCTGCCTTGGCCGAAATGGAAAGAATGGCCTTCTCATTCTCTCTCACACTTGGTTGTTCATTGCCCGCATGACTGTAGTCTGAAGTTGCAGTCTGCTTTGAGCTTGTGCTTTTTGAGAAAAGGTCCAGTTCTCCGCGTTAGCGGCTGTTGGATGCGTGGGTGTGGATGCTTGATCATTCTCTCTAGCAGGTGTCTCAATGTGTGATTCCTTGGTAAATTTGCCAAAGGAAATAACGAGTGCATGCAAAGACAGACCGTTTCTCCCCTCTTCCCCCCCCAACCTTCTTCTCACCTATGAGTAGCTTTCTGTGCGAATAGCATCATCAGTCCTTGAAGGTTTCATAATTTGGATGCTAATGAAGCACAAGAATTGTAGAGGCTGAAGCAAACCATTTTGAAGCAGAGAAAACTCCGCTCTCTTAAACCTTACAGGAGGGTTCTCTTCCTGCGTTTGATCACACACCGTTAGTAGGAAGCTCCGTCTTTTTAGAAGCAGTCGTGAGCCTTAAATAGCAAGTGCTGCTTCTATTAAACGGGGAAAAACATATGCTTTGTTTAGGACAAACTTAAGATGTTTCCCTGCGTTAAACAGAGAACATCTGGGATCCTGAAAATAATTGGGTTGGAAAAGTGAATGATCAAAATGCAAGTGAGTTATTATGAGGACCAGTCTTCCTTGTCACTGAGAATTTAATGCCCCAAAATAGATCTAGAGGAGCCGCATGGCGCGGTGGTTAAACTGCAGTACTGCAGCTAAAACTCTGCTCGCTACCTGCATTCTGTCCCAGGTAAGCCAGCTGGAGGTTCACTCAGCCTTCCACGCTTCAGAGGTCAGTAAACTGAGCACCCAGCTTGCTGGAGGGGGTGGTGGAGGCAGTGTGTAGCCTGCATAATTAAACTGGAAACTGCCCAGAGAGTGGTTTAGGCACTGTGGTATTAAATATATATCTATATACAGCATAGATTTCCCCCCTCATTTTATTAGTAGCAATTCAAAGATGTTTTCACGTGTACATTTATTTCCTACAGCGAGTCTCAACTTCTGAACGCTACCTTTTATGTTTCAGAAAACTCCTGAGCCCCATGGATGCCTGAACCAATGGTTATTGGATTTTTTAAAAAAATGTGTAATAAGGACTAGTTTCAGCATCCACTCTGTTTCAGATCATTCCCCAAATGGTAGTTTCATCCATCATAACGCCTTGGCCACTATCACAAGTCTATATGCGCGCAGCTGTCGCCTCCATCAAAAAAACGGGCCATTTATTTAATCCTTGCTTCAGCCCTGCTCTATTTTTTCTTACGGTGCTTCTGTGTAAAATTTAGGATGAGGAATGGTTTCACAAGAGGACGTTTTTCACAAGTCCTGAAATGTCGGTTGTGGGTCATCCAACATATATATATATTGGATGATTTTATATATATTATATATACAGTGGTGCCTCGCTAGACAGTTACCCCGCATGACTGTTTTTTCACTAGGCATTGACTTTTTGCGATCGCTATAGCGATTCGCAAAACAGTGATTCCTATGGGGAAATTTCGCTGTGTAGCTGACTCAATAGGTTTCAATGGCTTTGCGATGTCAATTTTTGCAAAATTAAGTGTGTCATAAAGGGGTCAAAAATGGTTTTAAATGCTTAGATTAGCTTCTGCACCCTCTAAAGCGGATGCAAAAGTTAATTTGGCTTTGATCTGACTTTTCGTTAATTAATGGTGAATTTTTTTCCCCCAACTTTTGACAGCTCCATTATTTCCTATGGGGGAAGAAAAAATTCACAAAAATTAATGAAGACTCAGCAACTGTTCTAAATTCTTGGGTTCGTTAGAGGACCCCCTAAGTTGTGTGCAAACCTGATTTGGCTTTGGTCTGAACTTTCGTTAATTTTTTGTAAATTGTTTTCTCCCCCATAGGAAAGCATGGAGCTGTCAGATTTTGACAGGTCCATTGGTTCCTATGGGCCAAAAAACAAAAATTCACAAAAAATTAACGAAACGTCAGATCAAAGCCAAATCAGGTTTGCACATGACTTAAGGGGTCCTCTAACGAATCCAAGCATTTAGAACTGTTTTGGACCCTTCTAAGACACTTTTTAAATTGAAAACAAAAAAAACGTTAAGCGAAGCAGGGGACCTAAAACAAAAAACGTTAAGCGAAGCATGGTCCCAAAAACGCTATGCGAAAATCGCCCATAGGGAAAAACGTTATACGAAGCACAATCTGCCTCTGAAAAAATAAACGTTAAGCGAAAAAAACGTTAAACGAAGCAAACGTTAAGCGAGGCACCACTGTATATAATCATTACTGCAGAACTGCCCTAAGGCAAAGTAATTCATTTCTCAGAAACCAATTCCATTTACTTCTTTTTATGTGACTTCCTTTGGTTGCAATGCAACCTTTTCCAAGCTGAGTCCCTCCAGACATTTTGGGGAGGGGGGGGGACAAGACCAAACAACCTCCAACAGGAACGTCATGGAATCGTCGCCCGAAATATCTCGAGGGACGTAGGTTGGGGAAGGTGGCTGTAACAAGGCAGTTCAGACTGGTAGCAAAGGGAGCCTGATCCAGAGAGTCGCTCGTGAGTAGTTTATTCTGGATGCCATAGCAAGAGGGCGAGTGGTAACCTGCTTTGACTTCCTTTGCACAGATATGAATCGGCACCATTATTCTCTTTATGTGCACAACTGTCGACTCGTGTTTCTCTTCCGGCAAGACCCCTCCGAGGGGCAGAGTTACAAACCGGCAGAATTCCACTGGAAACTGAACCAGGTGGGTTTCCTGAGGTGGTTTTGGAGGTGCGGTGGGTTTTCCAAGTCGCCGCTTGATTCAAGGCTGTTCTTTTTGTTGTTGAGAATGCTCTTCCATTTCAAAAGGTATTTGATTACATAGGGTAGTTTCTAGGGAGGTTTTTTTATTTCTCAGACTACAAATCCCGTAATTCCCCATTCTGGGTATTCCATCTGACTGACACACACTTTACAGGCGCCTCAGTGTGACTCGCCTGGGAGGCTCGGCCTCAAGCTCGGCCCCGCTCCACCCAACTTCCTGTTCCTGCCCCAGTGCGAGCTGGGAACTTGCCTTCTGAACCGGAAGCTGTGCCCTTTAAAAAGCTTTTCTTCTCCTCCAGGTGTGCGATAAGGAATGGCACCACTACATCCTCAATGTGGAGTTTCCAGCCGTTACCTTGTACATGGATGGCGTTTCCGTCGATCCTTTCCCAGTGACGGAGGACTATCCGCTCCACCCCTCCAAATTAGAATCTCAGCTCGTGGTTGGAGCCTGCTGGCAAGGTAAAGGCGTCCCGCCACTTTCTGTCTTGGTATCGGCGGCAGAAAGTTGCTTTCTTTCCTTCTTCGTCAAAGTTTCCTGTATGTTCTTTTTAAAAAAATTTGCAGCCCGTTCATTCTTTTAATGACCTGAACGGGCATCTATCTCTTTAGTGAGATTGCTTTAAAAAGACTGTGTGCGGTTGGGAAAGAGAAATAATATCATCTGCATCCAACTTAGTCCCGTTGGATCAGTTAATTGCTGAATACTGCAGTAACCCGTCTTTAAACCCCGCCGATTCTGTGGCTGCGATCGCCGGTGAGGTTCAGAACACACTTTCAGCGTCTGTGTGTGTTTACACAGAAGTCAACCTGTGCTCCTCACCCCTCTTTCCTCATTATCTTGGGATGTTCATGACACCCGGGCCCTTGGCGTACATGCCCGCAATCTCTCGGCGGCACTGCTTTCAGGAATAGGACCAGCGATGGCAATGTTGAGAACGCTGGTAAAGAAAGAGGCATGCATTTTCCTGCACGAGGCCGTTTCAGTAGCCAAGACCCCAGGGAGTGGGGCATACAGAGCCCCTCTTATCTCTCCATACGTCAAAAGAGTCCTTTCGTCCTTTTCCCTGACTCTCCCGGTCCTGTTATTGGGTTCCCCAGGATCTTGCCGGAAGTTTGTGCCTCTGCCCGGAGGTAGAAGGACTTGTTTGTTTGTTTATTTATTTATTTATTTTTGCTGCTCATGGCTAAAAAAAGCAATGCAGCAGCAGCATCAGGTTTTAACATGCAGAACCGGTTGGGAGAGCCGTTCCCTGGAGGAGGCTGCCTGGTGCTGAGTCACTGCCTCCAGCGCCGCCGAAGCTTTTCCTTGTTGGCATCTGGAGAAAACAGATCCCAGGATCTGTCGGGAAGTGGCGCGAAGGGATGGCCCCTGTGTTCCCTGCCCGGTTGCCCTTTTTTCCTTCCTTGTCTTTTAAGTCTTTTTTGTTGTTGTTGTTGTTGTTGAAATTGCAACATGCCTTTTTATTTAAAGGTCTGCTGCTTGTTTAAAAAAACAACCTAACCTCTGCCTATTCCCCACCCCGGACACCATTGAATTGGTTTTCTACTACAGTATTCTGTTTCTAACCTGAGCTGGAGGAGGGGGCGGGGGGGGGAAACAGTTTTTGGACCACCGCGCCCCGGATCCCCCAGGCCAGCACAGCAACTGATCATGCTAGCCAGAGAGGGTCGGGCGTTTGTCATGGGAAAAGTTACTTTTCCCCCCCAGGCTTTTTAAATTTCCCCCAAAGCTCTTGCCACAAGCCTGCAAAAATACAAAAAACGGGTGATTCATCCACCGGCCGTGTGCATCAAGGAGAACTTCAAGGTAGTGGCAGCCGTTGCCTGTCTTCATGGCGCTGGTGCGTCCTGCTATAAAATGCAGATGAATCATCTGCAGGGTCATCGTGAAGTGACGCCTCCTCCCGGTCTGGGAGTGGCCTTCATCGGGAAGTGCGCCCTCTGTGCCGTTTCATTCCTTGATGCCCAGCTGTTGGGGTTCATTGGCGGATTTTGGGTCGCCTTCCCCCACGGCTTCCATGGGGTTCCTCCGACGGGAAAGGCCACCCTGGGGCATCAGAGCGCCCCCTGCAGACTGCATTTGTTCTTCCTCGCAGAGGGATTCTTCTGGGGTTTTAGTTATGAAGCACAGAGAATAGAAGCAAGAAAAACATTCTCGTTGGGCCTGCTGAGGGAGGAGGGCACGGAGCCATAAACAAGGTTCAAAACGTTCGACACGGTTGCAGCTGCAAAACCCGTTTCCGTTCTGTCTGAAGGGCATACGGTGTTCATGGCAGAGCTGGGAGGGGCCTCATGGGTCATCGGGGCCAGAACCCCTTGCTAAGGAGGGCCCGGTGGGGGAACCGAACACCCAGCCTCGGAAGCCCCATACCTCTTGGACGTCTTGGGATTGTTTTTGAAGGGGACCGGGGGGGCAGGATTCAGTGGCAAAGGTTCTTCTGTGTGTGTGTGTGTTTGTGAGATCTCAGACAGTTTGCAAAAAAAGGGAAAGAGTTACGTGAATGCCGAGGCTTCGGGAAGCCACGTTGCTCTTGGTCCGAAAGGGAGCGTCTCCGTCTGGAGCGGAGCTCCGTCTGTTGTCCGGCGAGCCAGCCGGGCATCAGGGGAACGGGGAAACAGAACCGTGTGTGTGTGTGTGTGGTGACCGTTCAGACCTCCAGGTCCTAATCGCCCCGTTCCTTCTCTTTCTTATCCCTGTTCTTTCTCTCTTGCCTTCTCTGCAGAGTTTACAGGAAATGAGAATGACACAGAAAAGGCCACCGAGACCCCTGCAGGTTGCTGGTGTTCTTGTGGGGGAACTATTTTTTTGGGGGGTGGGGGGACAATCGGGGGTGGTTGGAACGCTTTGGGGTTTAAAAACAAATCGATCTTTTCACTCCTAAGCCATGACATGCCTCATCTGACAGCATGAATCGCCAGCATTTTGGTTGCGGCCACGGGAGCGACATCATCACCACCCCTCGGCTTGTTTTCCTTCCATCTTTTATTTCTCATACGCTCACCTCTTTCTTTCTTTCTTTCTCAAACCTCCGTTTTGGGGATCACCACAGACTGTTGTTGTTAGGCAAGCTTTTATCTTAAAAAGGGGGGGTTTGGAGAAGCAGGGAACCCCGTCACTGAACTGAGGAAGAATCGGGTGTTTTAATTGCCGAGAGATCAGTAACGAGCGGCAAGCAACGTATTGCATCTCTCATCGTCTTCATGGCTTGAAGGGCCATGTCCTCCAAACCAGATTTGGAAGGGCTGAATTTTTGATAGATTTAGTGAAGAGGAGGGAAGGGGGAGCCAGGAGCTTCTTGCTGGTACGAGACCCGAGTGTCTGACTGAGCATCCAGTCAAACCCTTTCCTAATTATAGATATTTCTGGTTTTGTAGCAGTAGCTTGTCAGGCTTAACGTCTCCATTGAAGGAAGTTAAATGAGAGACTTTTGTTTGATTTTCAGTTGCACCCTGCATAAAGCACTGCATAGGATGGGGAAAAAAGAGAAGTTTCTAATTACTTAACTCCCTGAACAGTGAAGTTGAAAAGTAGTTTTAGGGCACTTGTTAAAAGGTGGGAAGAAGAGCTGAAGTCACCCAGTTAAAAAGCCATAGCACACATTAATTTCTGAGCCTGCCTAGATGAAATCTTCATAGATTTGCATATGAAAGCAGTTGTTTGGGGGGGGGAATAGTTTTGCTGGTGGAGAAGAACAACTTAAACCTCAGCTGGATTTTCTTGAGTTGAGAAAAATGGATCCAGGTCATTCCAGCTGCAGGTTTTTTTTTTCTATCTGGCTGGTGTCTGATGAATATGAAAATGAGGGATAGCTCTCCTCTTTTGAGTCCTAATCCACCCCCTTGTTTTCTCAGTTGTGAAACCAAAGTTCGTCCCAAAGGAATTCTGCCGAGGCTAAACGTAGATCTAGAGTTGTGGGGTTGAGGCCTCCAACTCAGCCCTACGGCTGCAGCCCAGCCCTTCCCTCCATGGCTCTTAAGACAACCAGGGGAAATTCCCCGATGGAGGAACAGTCACCCAACAGAGGAGCCCCTGGCGTGCAGGCGGGCAGCCCCGGGTCAAGGCTTAGCGTCTCCGGTTAGGGTTGGAAAACTCCGACGATCGTCTCCCAGTTGGAAAGCTCGTTGTCCTCCCTATGCGGTTGGACGGCAGCTTCCCGTGTCCCTTGCTGTGGGCTGTGCCAGCTAGAACCGAGGGGCGTTGCAGCCTGACAGCATCCGAAGGGCCCCCGAGGGGCTGGCCTCTTACGTACAAGAGACGTACTGGACCAGCTGGCCCCATGCTCTGGTGTGTCATAAGGCAGCTTCCTGTGCTCTCGTTTGGCTTGACTAAGGCAATTGGTGTTCCTTTCCTGTCCATAATCAGGAGGTCCGTTCTCTGTACGACAGCTGCAAAGTTGGCCTTGGTTTCTTTGGGGAGTCATGATCGTGATGAGAAAGTGTAGCCTGGGCTTCGGGACTGAGTTCGGGGGGGTCTTTCTGTCCCCCCCCACCCTCATTTCAAGAGCTGTGTTGCATGAGTGGATTTCTTTTTAAGTTCTCTCTCCGCCCACCCTCCATTGTGCTTGAACGGTAACTGCAAGGTCAATTCAGAAATGGGCCCGACTAACCTGCATGCCAGTTTTGAAGCAAGGAATGGCTCTAATACTGAAATGGCCACTCCTTCAGGCTCACGACGGCTCTTCTCCCATTGCCTCTGTTCAAGGTGGGGAGCTTCGCATGGCCCAGTTCTTTCACGGCAACCTGGCCGGCTTGATGATCCGCTCGGGTAAACTGGAGAACAAGAAGGTGATTGACTGCCTTTACACCTGCAAAGAAGGGCTGGAGCTACAGGCGGCCGATGGCGTCGGCAAAGGCTTGAAGGTACGTTTGTACGACGACGGAAGGACGACGGGTCTCCGGGTGCCGGGAAGCCAAGGGGCATCGGGTGTTATTTTCTCAATGTCTTCTCAGCCTTTTCACAAAAGGGAGCACGCTCTCTGCACATACTACCTAACAGAAGAATCGGGTGTTTAATTGCCGAAAGAGAAATAACAAGGAGATCAGGATTGCATCACTCATGGCCGAAGCGTTGCGTCCCTCTGATCCAAATTTGGAAGAGCTGAATACTTGATCGCCCGTAGTTTTGCCTAGAGGGTTTTTTTTTGGTAGCTTTTATAATCTTGATATCTGGCAGCAAAGAACAGGAAGGAAGAGAAAAGGAGAGATTACATGAATTATTCTTGCATGGGTTGAAACATGAATGGAAAGCTCGTTGGCTAGCAACACGAATTTGTCTCTGCCCTCGGTTATAAAATTTGTGAGAGTTTTTCTGGAGCTAGTGACGGGGGCCACCCGGCCCTTGCAAAGCTCATTTTGATCAGTGACTTAACAGCAGAAAGACTCTTTGCTAGAGAATCAGTAGCACAGAACAAATGGCTCTCAACACTTTGGGAGGCCCGATCTCTCTCTTTTCCCCTAATCCTCCGATTCCACTTCCTGGGTGGCCATCTCACCCCTCTTGGCATGATTTCCAGATCCACGTGAACCCGAGCCAGTCGGCGTTGACTTTGGAGGGCGACGACATCGACCGGTTCGACAAAGCCATGCAACACATCTCCTACCTGAACTCGCGACAGTTCCCGACCCCTGGGATCCGCCGGATCAAAATCACTAGCACCGTGAAGTGAGTCCCCCCCCCCGGCCACAGTGGCTAGCAGCCCATGTTCCCATGGCCGACCCGTCTCTTTAATGTCGCCTTTCCGCCTTGGGCCCTTTTAGGACGATGGTTCCTGACTGTGGGTCTCCCGGGTGTGTTCTTAGACTGCAACTCCCAGAAGCCCCAGCACCAGCTGTGCTGGCCAAGGGTTTCTGGGTTGGGAACCATGGCTTTAGGCGGTTTTTAAATATTTTAAATCAATCAATGCAGCCCTGAGTAAAAGTTTCATTGTACAGTGGTGCCTCGTAAGGCGATGTCAATTTGATCTGCGAAAATCGCTGTCTTACGAAAATATCTTCTTGCAAAACGAAAAAGCCCATTGAAAGGCATTGAAAACCGGTTCAATGCGTTCCAATGGGCTGCAAACTCACCGTCCAGCGAAGATCCTCCATGGGGCGGCCATTTTTTATGCCTGTAAAGCAGGGAATCCATCCTGAAAACACAGCAGGGAGCCATTTTGCACAGCGGGCGGCCATTTTAGAACTGCCAATCAGCTGTTTCTAAATCGTTTAGCGAAAAATCGGTTCCCAAAGCAGGGGACCGATCATCGTTAAGCGAATTTTCCCCATAGGGACATTGTTTTGCGATTGCAAAAGCGGTCGCAAAAACTTCATCGTAAAGCGGTTTCGTCATTTAATGAGGCAATCGTTAAGCGAGGCACCACTGTATATCTCTCTTCTCCTTCACCTTCCTCCACATAGTAGAACTCCAGCACGTTACTTTGGACACCAGTCATCATGAGTCTGGCTTATCTATTTTGATTATTTATTTCTTTAATTTGTATACCACCCACCTGGCTACCAGAGCCACTTGGTACAGAAAATAAAACAACCGTCAAGAGCAGTAAATTAAAATAATGTTGGAGTGATACAAAAGAATAAACCTACACTAAACCTCATAAATTAGAAATGTTGAAAAGACAGCATGAAAAATAGCATTTGATAAAAACAATCTAGATTTCTTGACTTATTTAGAGTGATAGCGTGGGGCTGGTACACCCTGCTGGACTGCTCCCATCTGGTTGTCTATGGTCTGTCTCCATGGATTTAAAAAATATAATTATTATTATTTGGAGGAGCATCCAGAAGCCAAGCCGTCTTGTGGGGCCAGTCGGTTCTGGCTTGTGGCTTAGCTTGGCGTCTTCCGCAGGGCAACTCTGCCCTGTTGCTGTGCAAGAGAGGCAGAGGAGTGGAGTGGTTGGAGCGGGGCTGGCAGGCTGGTGGTTTGAAAAGAGGGGCCCCCTCGCCACTTGGGCAGGGCCATCCCAAGACACAGAGCCCTGCCCTTCTTCAGCTTTCGTCCTCTTGCCTTCGGCAGGTGCTCCGGCGACGACGCCTGCCTCTCCATCCCCTTCGTCGACGGGTACATCATGGTCCTGCAGCCGGAAGAGCCCAAAATCAGCCTCAGCGGCATCAACCACTTCGCCCGCTCGGCGTCGGAGTTCGAGAGCCCCGAGGGGGTTTCCCTCTTCCCCGAACTCCGCATCATCAGCACCATCACCCGGGAGGTGGAGCCAGAGGGCGACGGGGAGGAGGACCCCACCGGTAATGAATTACAGGGTGCCAAACCAGGGGTGGGTGGGAGCGTGTGCACAAGAGCGCATTCCGATGAAATAAACTGGGATTTGAGGCGATCCAGAGACTGGGTATAGAGGAGGTGGAACGTGGAAAGATCCAACAGAAGTGCCAAAGACCCTTGTTTTGTCATCTGAAGCTGCCCGGGGATTTGGGGGCCTCTGGATGCCTTCCCATGTCACTAAAAAATATATTCAGCTTCAGAGGGGAGAATTATGCCCCCAGAGGTCCCCAGAGCCACACTGAATGCTATTTGCAACCATCGTTGAGGCCTTCAGTCTCGCCCCCACCACCTGTGGGATGGGATTGTCCCGGCCTTTCTGAGTTTGGACAGAGTAACAGGGATCCCTGGCGGGTGTTTGTGGAAAATGGGGCAGAATTTTGGCTCCTGGACTCCTGCAGGTGCCAGCTCCTAATTTCAAGGTTCTAGTCCTCAGTTAAAACCCTCCAGGGTAATGGGGAGAATTGCGTCTCTTTGCATCGCCTTTCGTTCCCTGCCCTCCTGATCCATTTCGCCTCTTTCCCCTTCCGGCAGTCCAAGAATCCTTGGTGTCCGAGGAGATCATGCACAACCTGGATACCTGCGAGGTCACCGTGGTGGGAGAGGAGCTCAACCAGGAGCAGGAGAGCCTGGAGGTCGACATGGCGCGGTTGCAGCAGAAGGGGATGGAGATGAGCAGCTCCAATCTGGGCATGATCATGACGGGTAAGGCCCTGCCCGCTTGGCATGCCGGGAATCGCAGCGCCGCGTCAGCAAAATTAAGAGCCGAGCCATCCTGGGAGGCTGGTGGAGCGCGTCTCTGCATACCATCAGGGGGACAAGAGGTTTTTCCTGGGCCAGCGAGCATGTCGGAGACCAAAGAACAAGCTGTTGCGTTGAAAACGTGCCTCACAGAGAAGGCATCGATAGAGCTCTTAGCCGCCTGTCTCCTGCGTCTTGTTGGTGTCTGCATCAGAGCAAGCATGCAGCACCGTTGGGTGTGTTCGGAGCTGTGCGGTGATTAGGGAAAACATCAAGCAGCCCAGCAAGGGAGCCTACTTTGCTGGCAGAAATCTTTTCTGTTTCGTTCAGCCTCAGCAATAGAAAGCGGAGGACGCAAGTCCACAAAGTTAACAGGAGGTGTTTACTGTTTCAGTAACCTCTGTGATATTCCGTATTGGCCCCTTGCATTTGGGAGACAAGACAGATCTGTAACGGTTAAATTTAACTTGAAACGGAAAAGGCATCAAGTTTATCTGTCTTATTTGCTTGGTTGCTTGCTTTATGGGGGGGGGGGCTTCCTTAATAGGACGGATGCCCACAAAATGCCCCAGGTGTACCATCTCTGTTTCTCTCCTCCTCCCCCCCCCACCAGGGGTCGACACCATGGCCAGCTATGAGGAGGTTCTGCACCTGATCCGCTACCGGAACTGGCACGCGATCGCTCTGTTTGACCGCAAATTCAAACTGGTCTGTTCGGAGCTCAACGGGCGTTATGTCAGCAATGAGTTCAAAGTGGAGGTGCGTGAGCAAAGTTTTGCCTTTTTAGAGGGACTTCAAAGGACTGTTAAGGGTACCCTAAGGAAGCAGGGCCAGGAACAGAAGAATCCAGTAATCAATGGGGCCCTATATTGTCAACTCTGACCAGCAGCAGCTCACTAAAGTTATGGGGCAAAAAAATGTCTCTCAGTACTTGGTGCCTGAGATTCCAGGCAGCTGAAATGGAATTCTTTGCATTTATTAGCAGAGGGGTTCCTGTATCCATGGGGGATCAGTTCCAACTGCCCCAGCGGATGCTGAAAAACGGATAATAGCAAACATCATATGAATAGGAAACACTGTACACAGCATGGTCTCTGCCTCCTTCTAGTGGCCAGTTCTGGTAAATTCACTTTTAGAAATATTAGAAATATTTTGGACAAGTGAATCGGTGGATAGTGATCCTGTGGATAAGGGGCTCCTACTGTATTATTTGTTACACTTAACATGCCACATTTCCTCCAGAGTAGCTTAGCAGTGCAGAGCTTATTTTTTAACCCTTATTTTTTTCCCTTTCCACTCCTCCTTTTCTCTCTCTCTCTCTCTCTTGTTTTTTCCCTTTCCACTCCTCCTTGTCTCTCTCTCTCTCTCTCTCTTCCTTCTGCCTTTTGCCCCAAACGTCTGCGTCTTAGGTGAACGTGATCCACACCGCCAGCCCCATGGACCACGCCAGCCACATGGCCGCCCAGCAGCCCCAGTTTGTCCAGCCGGTCCACCATTCCTTTGTGGACCTCTCCGGCCACAACCTTGCCAACCCTCACCCGGGGTTTTCAGGTTCGGGCTTCTTCTCTCTTGACCCACCCCCATGAGGTCCCCTGGGTCTCCTTTCCTCGTTCGTCCATTCGGGGGGAGACCCACGGAAGGCTCGCGATGGGCGTTTCCAGGGTCCTGCCTGGAGGAGGAAGAGGGTGGGCCGAGACATTCCGTGAATGATGCCTGAGCAACCTCGGATGGCGGGAAATAGGCGCGGGGGGGGAATTCACACCCCTTGATCTGGGGCCTTTGTAAGCCAAGGCCCTTCTTTAAGAGGAAGGAAAGGAAGGGAGTCAACGTCTCCTCAAACTGCAAGGAAGAGTGAAGGATTCCCTGCCTGGAATGAGCCTCTATCCCAGGAGAGGGCCTGGCGTTTTACTCTTCCTTGATCCAGCCCCGTTTCTGGTGGCTTGACGTCCTCTTGAGTTTGTGGGCAAATGGGAGATTCACAGAATGGGGGGCTTGCCTCTGCCGTGGCCTCTCCCACCAGTTCTGCTCCAACCCCCATGGGAATCCCCAAAATAGCCACGCCCATCTTGCCCACCGTTTTCACACACACCCCCTTGTCATCTCCCTTTCCAGTGGTTCCCAGTACCGCCACGGTCGTCATTGTGGTTTGCGTCAGCTTCCTGGTGTTCATGATCATCCTGGGCGTGTTCCGGATCCGAGCCGCCCACCAGAGAACCATGCGGGACCAGGATTCCGGGAAGGAGAACGAGATGGACTGGGACGACTCCGCCTTGACCATCACGGTGAACCCGATGGAGGTAAGACTTCTGGGCTTCTCATCAGACTGCAGGAACCACAGGGGGATGTGGCTCGCAAGGCATCTGAAAACCCCACGGGGGGCCAGGTGATCCCTCCAGGTGGGTCGGTTCGGCGCTTCGGACGCCAGCTGCCAACCCACCTCTTTAAGATGCGGAGCCCTGGGTGGCTTTGAACGATAAACGTGGGGGTGGGGGAAGGGATTTCCCGGGGGGGTATGCATGTGTGTGCAAAGCTCCTCACCTTCTCTGCTTGAACAGACGTATGAAGACCAACACAGTAGCGAGGAGGAGGAGGAGGAAGAGGAGGAGAGCGAAGAGGGCGAGGAGGAAGACGACATCACCAGCGCGGAGTCCGAAAGCAGCGAGGAAGAGGAAGGCGAGCAGGAGGAAGACCAACAGAACGTTAACCGGCAGCAGCAGTTGGAGTGGGACGACTCAACGCTCACCTATTGATTCTTGCCCTTCCTGCCCTTCTCCGGTTCCCTTTGGGGTTGTTTTCTGTTCTGGGAGAGTCCGCCGATTGCCACTCCATCGCTCCTGAGGACCCCTGGCGTGAGGAAGTCACTCCGGCTGGTAGAGCTAGCCAACGACAACACACAAACACACCCACCGGCATCCACCCTCCGTCCCAATGTATCTCTGTCTGCTCCTTCCCTAGCTGGGTCCCTGGCGTGTGCACACATACACACATGCACACACACACACACAAAAAAAACACTACACACCAACAGAAGCCGTGACTCTTAGAACCCTACCAACCACCTCTTCTCCCTCCCTCATCTTGCAGTGACTGGATAGCTTTTACTTACGATTATTGTTGTTCTCGTTATTATTTACTTTGCAAAGGAATGGCCTTGTCTTCTCTCCTGGTGTCATCTCATTTAAGGAACACGACAGCTCCGTAGGTGGCACACAAGCTCGAATTTTTAAATCTGATTTTAATGATCGCTTTTTTGGGGGAGGCGGGGTTGGCCCGGTGCTATGCTTGGTTCCTCATCCTACTTTTCCCAGGGGGGAAAAAAGAGTAATCATGAATGCCAAAATCATTCAGTGACAAAGGGTTGACTCCTTTTAACTTGCTTTTGTTTCCTCCGTTCTGGGGGTGTGGTTTGTGGCTCATTTCATATCCCATGACCCTTTTTAAAAAATGATTCTTTTCTCTCCTTTCAGAATCTAGGTGCATGTGTAAAGTGGCAGAATGAGGTTACTATGTAGAAGATTAACAAACTTTTTAATATTTTGTAAATATATTGGGATTCTGTAATTATGTCACTTGTGGTAGTGAAAAAAACGGGGGGGACGGGGTTCGGGTGGGAAGGGATAAACCATGCTAAGGTTTAAAAAAAAATCATGCAGCGTGATGTAGTGATAAGGTTATATATTTTTCCCCTTTCTTCCTTTCAAAAACCTGCCGCCAGAAGCATGGGACAAGTTTAGTTTACTGTTCGAGCCGCTAACACTGATCCGGTAACACCGCGATCATCTTTTTATTTTTTTTTAACTCCGGACCAACCTCTGTGGACAGCTTTTCGTCTCTTTTTTTCAGTTCATATTTCTTTCATAGTGAAAAAAGGAAAAAGAAAACAATTTAACTGCAAGACTCTCTTTGGGCTTGACCGCCAGGTTTTGGGCTTCCCGGCTGGGCTTCGTTGGCTTTGGCGAAGGGTGACCAGGTGGCTCGGACACACACACACCGTACTTTTGTTGTGGTTTGTGGAAATGGAGGAGCCCCCTGGGGGGGCCTTGAGGCCGGGCCACTGCTGATCTTAAAACCTCCTGCTCAGATCGGGCCGCTTCGCTGACTGTAGTGGGAGCGAATAAGGTCCAGAAGCCCCCCGGGGTCTGCGTCTTCTGGTCCTGAGACAGGCAAACGAGGGATAGCCGTCGTTTGGGCGCGCTGCCTTGCCAGCATCATTCCTTCTAAAACACACCCACGTGTTTTTGTTGCAGCTGCTTGTACAGTAACTCGGGAGTTGGGGGTGGGCACGGGGGGGGCCCTGTCTTTGTTTACACTTAAGGTGCGTAATTTACTACTTTGGTTTTCAATGATTCCTGCTGACCTCGTGGGTCTGTTGCATTTTCTTCAAGCTGCCAGGTTTAGGGATGGGGTTTAGATGGGGGGGGGG